TCCCGAGGCAAAACTTGTACCACCCACCGCGGTGCTCCGTGTCAAAGTTGAACCCGTTGTGCTGGACGTCGTTCGAGTTCTCGTTGGGCGGCGTCGTCGTCACGAGCGAATTGAAGAAGTTCATGTCCGCCTGCTCTTCGGTTGGCGGCGTCGCGAACGGGCCATACGCCGTGAGCCGAATGTCGTACAGATCCTGGCTCTCGACCACCGCGATGCGCAGGAAGGCCGTGCGCTTCGTCTTGACGTACTCGATGAAGCACTCCTTCGACCGGCCCGGCACGACCACCATCAAGGACGAGACCATCGTCATGGCGAGGAAGAGCCATGCCACCATGCAAGCATTCCGCGCTGCCATCGTCGCCGTCCACGCCGATCCGTATCTGAACTGGGGCCCCACAAGCGAAAAAACGAACGTCCAGCTGGCACGTCGGATAATAACAGTCGCATCCGGACACAATTGATTGAGATTACCATTGCGAATATTGAGTTTCAGATAACAGACATTTATTGATTAATAGCCTCCAATGGAGATAGTAAGCTGTAGGGTCCCCTTGATGCCAGGCCAGGCGCACGTCTTCAAGTCGACACCACTGCTTGGAGCACCTTGCAGAGGCGTGGTCGGAGCGGCAGCCTTGGGCACATGGCAGCAAGGAAACGCAATCATGGTCCATGATTCCGAGTTCCCGAGTTCGACATGCAGCTCTGGCGGCGCGCTGGCGGCTCGTTCTGCACGTGGCAAGCTCTCGCTAGTGCATTGGCCCTAGCAGATTGGCGTCTTTGGCCCAAACGAGGGGTTTGAGATTTTAAGTTAGTTTTTTTCTAGTCTGCGGTGGAGGAAGTCGGTGTTGAGGGCGCTCACGCGATCGCGAGCTGGCTCACCTTGACAATGTGGCGGCCTGGCACGAGCGTCATGCCAAGGAAGCGCTTCGATGGGATCTGCGGTACTTCGTCGTCGTCTTGGTTGGCGTACCGGTACTCGTTGGTCTCGGTCAAGATCAGGTTCTTCTCATGGTCGAGGCAGTGGAAGGAGCCGATGAGGATGCGCCCGTCCGAGATCTCGACGCGCAGCGGCTGGTCGATGAGGCCAAGCACTTCCTGTATGCTCTTGGGGAGGGCGTCCATCTCGGCCGCGACCGCAGCGTGGGCGACGACCTTGCCGTTTGTGGAGAGCATGCTCAAAGCCTTTGTCACGATTTCATTGGCCGACGGCGATTTCCATAGGCTGAATATACGCAACTTGTCTCCTACGGACGACGATGGCCAAAGCCATGCAGAGAGAGAGGCGTACCAAGTGTGCACACTCGTGGACTACACAGGTATACGTATAGTTTAGCTAGTCCTTTATGTATTCCAGTCTCGGTAGTGCTACGCATGTATTGACACGTATAAAACCCGTTGATTTTTGGGCAAAAAAGTGACCTTTCTGTGCTCGTTAACAAAACGAGAGATCAGAGAGATGGCGAAAAGTGATCTCTCCTCATATCGATCACGTTAGCATCGAGCAACTAGGGTCTCCCCACTGGAAAGGCGACTGCGGTGTGATTGTCGTAGTACAAGAACTCGTACCTCAACGCGGCTACCTCAGCAACACGGTGCAGCCAATTGGAGTTGCGTGCATTTAGTGTCTTAAGTCGGCAATTATCTGCTTTGATTGGTATAGCGAAGGTTTGGGGTTTCGATCTTGGCACCGATGACGACGACGACGCTCCGGGCCGGCGACGTGCAGAAGATGCTCGAGGCCAACGACAAGATGCTTCAGACGTGGAAGACGCTCCTCGAGGGCCGACGTACGACGCATGCTCCTGCCTTCCCGCTTCCGCCTCATGGAGCCTCGTCGTCGTAGCCAGCACGGACAAGACGGCCGAGTACAAGGAGTGGCACATCAAGTGCGTGCGCTACAAGGAGCAGATCTCACGGTCGCTGGAGCGCCTCGCCGCAATGGCCGACGACCAGGTAGACGACGACGACGACCTCTTCTCACGTAGGTCTCATGGCGCGGTAGATTGCCAAGAAGGAGACGGCGCCATCGACGACGACGCCGTCCCCGCGCCAGAGTCCCCCGCCGACGACCACGAAACCAGTGGCGCCGACGCAATCGCCTGCACAAGCGCAGCAGCAACAGCTCCTTCAGCAACAGCAGCAGGCACTGGCCAAGCAGCAAGCCGCGCTGCAGCAGCAGAAGCTCCAGCAGCAGCAGCAGCAAGCAGCCCTTCAACAACAAAAGCAGCAGCAGCTCCAAAAGCAACAACAACAACAGAAGCAACTACAGCAAAAGCAAGCACAAGCACAGGCGCTGCAACAACAGCAACAACAACAGCAGCAGCAACAACAAAAGGCAGCGCAGCAGCCTAAACAAGGGGCAGCGACCACTCCCATGCAGCTCAACGCGGCCGGTACGCTAGCCTTGGTATGTATATGTACCTATCTCGGGATGATGTAGGCTTTGCCAACACGGCGGACCTCTCGGCCCTCTTCAGTAATCCGTCCATGGTCATGGCCAACATGAGCTCGCTCAGCGGGTTTCCAATGCCGCCGTCTTCCAGCGGCAACGCGACGTCGGAGCTTCTCTTCAATCCGATGGACCCGGTCCACCAAGCGCAGCTCAACATGTACAACTTCAACCTGCTCCAGCAACAAGCCTTCTCCAACGCACAGCTGTACCCTGGCTCGTTCAACCCGGCGATGAACACGATGATGCAGTACGCCAACGCCGGGTTCATGCTCCCGACGACGACGACGACGACGACATCGACGACGACAACACCGGCAAGTGCGACGTCGACCACGGCGGCGTTTGCCTTCAACGACCAAGACACGGTCAATAGCGTCATGGACGACTTTCTGTCGCAGCCCGAGTAAGCGTCGCGTCGTCTGTAGTGTAGATATTAAGACACAAGACCGTTCTATCCTGCGTCTCAGGCGCCTTCGAGGAGCGAGAGGTCGGGCGGGAGCTCCGCGTCGCTGTAGCGCACGTCCTGGAAGAAGACGCGCAAGAGCCGGCACGTGGCGAGGACCCGGATCTGCACCGTCGACACGTGCTGCGTGCCAAACGCCTCGAGCAAGACGCTCTGCAGATCCATGCAGAGGTACTGCCAGCCTTTGCCCAAGGCCAGTGGCATCTGGCAGTGGCTCGCGTTCACGCGTGCGAGGCTCCGCGCGTTCGTGATCGTGAGCGTCCGGTACTCTCGCTTCCCGTCGAGGAGCTCGACCTCGTACGTGAAGAACGCATCGAGGTTCTTCACAAAGAGCACAAGGTACCGCATGACGTTGGTCGTGTGCAGCACGAGGCGCGTCTCGGGCCCGAGAAGCTCCAGCACGGGCTCGTCCACCTCGGCGTCGTGCACGATGCGCACATCGTTGTCACCGCCGAGCTGAAGGCACTCGGCGATCGCGAGGCGCACGGCCGGGTGCGCATGCAAGCTCAGCACGCCCTTCTCGCCGACCGGGTCGCGGCACGGAAGGATCGGCTCGATGAGCTTGTGCTCAAACATCTGCGGGTCGTCCGCGTCCTCATCGGGCTCTTCAAACGTCGCTGGCATGCTCGGTTTTCGGCAAATGATGAAACGACGCCGTGGTCAATATTACTGCAACCACCGAGCATTGCGTCCAGCGACAAGAATCGATGGAGCTTTGCATGGTTCCAGACAGCTAGTTAAAGACATCCCATGTACGGTCGCGTCTCTCAAGAAAAAGACATTCGCACACGACGGCAGAGCGACGGCGGTGCTTTACGAGTCGCTTGCAAGGAACGCAGTGGAATGGGGACGACGTGCAGCAGAGAGGTTCAGGCGGGAAGGTTCGTGCTCGAGGCAAGCAACGAGGCGTCCGCAGAGAGCATGGATTTGGATTCGGGACGCGCCATCTCCAAGCGCGAGCAGCGACTGACACGGGCCTTGCTTGACCTAATAGGTGATGGCGGAAAGCCTGTCGCCGTCATGTAGCGTGGCGTTGGTCCATTCGAGTCGGGTGCCGTGCAGAAAGGGCGGTGGTTGCGGTGTCGTGTTGCTGGCTGGGAACCTTCGCACGCTGTAACGCCTTGAACCATGAGCTCGGACGCACTCGGTTTCTTTGAGAAGCACCGCGCGCTCTTCGAGTACGACAAGTACTTTCCCGGGCGGGACCCATGCACGTCGTCGTCGGCGTCAGGGCTCTTGCTTGCATACACCAGCGCACCGTCGTCGTCGTCGTCGTTTGCAGAGGCCATTGCGGCGCTGAATGCACCGGCCGCCCCCGGAATTGCCTTCAAGCCACCTCCACCAGCAGCTACAGCAACGATAGCGTCGTGGACAAAGCCACTGGCGGCATCCAGACCGATTGCGCGACTGTATGAGCCCCGACCGCTCGGGGGTGCCAAGGAGAGCACCTTCCCACCACCGCTTGCGCAGCAGCCAGTAGCACCAGTGTCGCTACCACTGCAGCCGGCGGCACCGCTGCCATTCCAGCCGACTGTGCCAACGCTGCCACCAATGACGCTCGTCGCCAAGGCGCACGAGTCGTCCAAGTCCAATGGACCAGCAAAAGAGCTCTCGCGACAAGCGTCGTCGTCCAATGCGTTGCAGAGAGGACCGCAACTGCTCGACAGCTCCGTGCGAGCCTACACGCGCAAGGTCGACGTGGCGCAGAAGATCGAGATGCTCGTGGGCCCCAAATTCGGTCGCGTGTTTGGCCCGAGCAGCAACCTCCCACTGGGCGTCAAGCGGCGGCTCGAGGCGTATGCTAGATTGGACCAGCGCAAAGAAGCCTTGTACCAGCTTCTTTTGAGCGAACAGCACGCGCTCGAAGCCCTTCGCAGCACTCGAAACACCTAATGCCTTGCAGCGTCCTTGGTGAATCTGTATTCCTACGAGATGAGGATTGCGCCAGCGTTTCTTACCACAGCAGGACGCTGTGAGAGCGCCCTCGGTCGAGTCGATACCATGGCCCGAGGTACATGCACCGGCACCAAGGCTGACAAGCTCCGTTTGGCCAAACCAGCGGCTGTGTGGCGATGTGAGTACCTTATAGCCAACGTCGCAAGCAGCTCCGCACGCTCCAGCTTGAGAAGGCGAGCTATCACGCTGGGTTAAACGTCAAAGAAACATGCGCGGATGGAGCTAGCAGCAGCAGTGAGGAGCGCGCCTGTCGAGCCCAACCCCGATGATCAACGCCCATCACGTGCAGCTTTTTATATAGGGCCCCCTACTTTGTCATAAATGTCTCTTTGGAATATACTAGGAATTCTATGTAACAGTGCGCGGGAGATTCAATTAAATGCGGGACCCGGGGCCTAGTCTTTCTGGCGCCGTGCTTCACGCGGCCGCTCAGATCGCAATCTGCCCAACACGACTGGCTGGGATTCAGCCCATGAGCTCGCCACGCGCTGCGTCCAACCGCCGCACGCGTGCGGAAGACAGCCTCATGGATGTCTCGCCACCGCGCCCCAAGCGGCCCACGACGGCGATCACCAAGGAGAACGGGTCGCCCGGCAAGGTCTCGCCGCCACGCGAGATGTTTTGCACGCCGTCCGTGACCGACACGACGCGCCACGTCAAGTATCCTGGCTGGCTCGAGTCGCCGCAGACGAAGCGCCAGCGAGTACTGACGCCGACCAAGCCGACGCTGGCCGCGCGCTTTCTGCAGCAACGGAAGAAGACGGTCGTCGTGCGCCATTTCACGCTCAAGCTGCACCCGACGAGCGCGTCGGCGCTGTCGCCGGCGCAGCGCGACCTCATGGCGAGCCTTGGCCTCTACGCGATCGAGCTCAACTCGACGCGCACCTCGCTGCGCATCACGCGCAAGCTCTTTGCGCCGCTCGCAGCGTCCTTTGACACCACCGCGCTCGGGTCCGACCACTGCACGCTCACGTACGACGACCGCGTCGTCATCCTCCGCGACAAGAGTCCGAAAGGCATCTTGGTCAACAAGCGGCGGATACCCTTGATGCTCGAGACGCACCTGCGCACGGGCGACGTCGTCCAGCTCGTGCCAGGACTCACCTACGTGCTCTGCAAGCGCGTGTGCGACCGCGACACGAAGCAGCGATTCGTGCCCAAGCCCAAACGCCAGCTCCATGCTACGCAGTCGTCCATCGTACGTTCTCTCGTCCGAAAACGAAAAAATGCCAAGGAGTAGGTCGTCTTTGCGGCGTCGCCCTTCGCCGGCATGGACCGCGTCGGGCAATTCCACCCGATGCCGGTGCGTTGGCGCGTCCGACTCCCAACAATGATACGACGCGTGTAGGCGCTCCCTCTCGAGACCGACTTTCACTTGATCCAAAACTGCATTCATGATGCAGCGGTCCAGTCGGGTGCGTGATACAGTCAGTGCTTCGTCTCTATCGATGCGTAGGCCACGTGCCATCGATTTGCGTCTCGGCCAAGCCCGGGATGCTTGAAGAGCTTCAGTACACAGCGACGCAGCGCTGCCAGGTGCTGCATTTGATCGGCCGGGGCAGTGCGAGCAGCGTGTACTTTGAGGACAGTCTCTCGCTCGTCCACCCGGTGAGCTACGATGCGCTGCGCCACACGCTCTCGTTCGGCAAAGTGCCGCCCTTCCGCCTCGTCGTTCTCTCGTACGACCCCGCCGACACGCTCGGTACGTCTCCGATACCGTGGCAACGGCCCGCTCACGAGAAGGGCCAGCGTCCGTCTTTGTGTCGATTGGCGTTCCCCATGTGATTGTGATGCGCGAGTGCTCCCCTGTCGTCCACCGCGCGCTTCTAAGGTCCCTTTTGCGATACTCTTACTCGGCAATCCACCCTGCATGCTTTGGTCCTGTAGTGGGCTCTACCGCGCGCTGGCCAAGCGCAAGAGCGTCGAGCAAGCTGTCGCAGTCGCAACGCAAGCGTGCGTGGCCGAGTTTCCCGACGAAGGCGCCAACGTACGTGCCACTCGCTCGCTGTCGTGCTGATCCGTCGTGTAGAAAATGGTCTTGTTGCCGTCGACGACGCCCCATACCGAAGTGCTCTTTGCGCTCGAGCCGAAGCGCAAGCTGCGGCACCGCGTGATACCCCGCCCGACGCCGCTCTACGAGAACCTGCCGCCGCTCTGCGATGTACGTACCATGTCGTTTGCCCCCTTGTTTTGGAGCTGATGAGCGACCGGGACTAGGGTTTCTGCAACCGCAGCCTCGACCTCTTCAAGGTAGAGTTGGCGATAACGATGTCCAAGAGGGAGCCACGTTTGTGGTAGATCACCAAACTCCTCTCGTCCAAGCGACGACTCATTTCCATCACGGGCGAAGCCGGCATTGGTCCGCACGTCTCTCTTCCTGGATGCAACTAACGTCTATGCACCAGGTAAGTCTGCCGTCGCCAAGGCGCTTGCTCGCCACATCTCGCTGCGGACGTCGTGGGTCGTGGGACTGACAAGTCCGGTGCGCTACCTCCACGTCCCGACCGTCGTGGCGGCGACCCCACCCAACTCAACGTACGCCTTTTTCATTCGTTTGAAACTGCAACAACCAGTGTAGCATGTGGGCGCACCTCTGGCACACGAGCCAGACGCTCGAGGGCACGGAAAGGTAGTCCGCTTGCATGGCACAATCGTTTCTTATTCTGGACTAGTGACTACTCGTGGCCGTCAGTGCTCATTCTCGACGGCTGCGACGCGCTCACAGCGACCGACGCGGACCGCCTCACCTTCCGC